ACTATTAAAACATATAAATAATTGAGTCATGACACAATTATTTTTAAGAATTTTGGAAATTGAGTCAACAGCAAAATAATTTACACCACATGTATAAGCCCTTGCAAACAGTAAAATCATCATCTATAGTGATAGCCAAGCAGCCTTAAGAACAATTAACAAAGCACAAACAAACCTGGCCAAATTGGGAGTCTTGAAAAACAACAATATAATTAACTCTATAATTCATATTGTAAAAAGCCAAAAACTCATCATAACATGGAAAAAAATCAAAGTATACAGCAATAATAAACACAATGATAGAGCAGATTTGCTAGCAAAAGAAGCAATAATATCAAGTAAAGTATCTGAAATAGAATGCATACCTATTAGAAACAGCAAAATACAATAGACACAAGAATAGAATAGCAATATTCTCAACAACACAATTACATCAATAAAAAACCTCATCAGAACAAAATATATTCTCAACTGGAGAAATTTAGATTGCAACCTCACAACAACTGATAACAACTTCATACTAAACAATATTGCATAGAAAGAGTTACTAATTAACAGAGCACCATCAAAACTAACAATAAAATTAATCAACTGAGAATACCACACTAGCAGATCTTTTAGATTAAGATTCTGAAATCCAGAACTATCCACCAAGGACAAACTACACAAAAGAGCAGCAAACATCTATACAAATAATCAATGCCTTAACTGCCAACAAACAGAAACCAACATACATTGTATAATATGTGAAGGAAATAAAGTAGACATCTACAAAAGTGATAACAAATAATTAATAAGGGGATCAATAACAAAAACAATAAACTCTTAAAGCATAACTTAAATAAAGAACTTAACAAACAAGTAAAATACTGAATATAAGAAGTTAAAAACTACATAGCAAAAGGAGCCCTCACAACAAATATGATAAAAACTATTAAAAAACATATACTAGTAGAAAATTAAAAAGAAATTAATAAAAATATTGTTAATAGATTTTTTAACGAAATTCAAAAAAATAGAACTTTAGATGTAAAAACTTTGCACAAGGAAAAAAGAAACACAATATCACTGCTAATGACAAAAGACAATAGAAACCTATAAAAACAAAAAAGAACCCATACAAATCCTTTATCCTAGGAATCAATGAGATAATAAAACACACCAGCTACCATTGGATTAACTAGAACACAATCTTTGCATTAAAAACAAAATTTTTATAAGACAGATAGAGCCTTGAAAATTAGTCAAGTATATTGTTGGCCTGGAAAATGGCAAGTTAGTTGCTTCACTGGTCTAATGTTTGCATAACTAAGGTAAGTTGAGGTGCATAAAATTAATTTAGCCAGGACTTTTCATTATTAATAAGCTTTTCTCTTTTTTTCTGACACCAGCTCTTTTCTTGATAATCCTGGACTATGTCCTATAATGGTGATTACCCTTCTTTGTATGGTGTATACTTGAAAAGATAAGTTGTTAATTATAATATTTCTTATTTGACATTTCAATTTTTATTATTATTCCTTTTTTTTGATTTTCTATCTCTTGAACTAACTCGATCTGTTTCAACTCTCTATATACTACTGTTTACTTTATAATAGTATGGCTATTTATATTGTTGCTACTACTAGAAAAACAATTAAGTGAAAATAGATTATCAGGGCTAAAACAAACTATGTGTAAGTTATGTAAGCTTCAATGACTACATTTCCTATGCTGATTATTAATGCTACTTCACATTTCTAGGATACATGACATGATAGTCACGGTATATGACTATACCATGTGACTTTTATAGAGCTAACAATATATCAATACTTGGCAATAAGTCACATGATCGGAACATTCTTTAGTGAGTTTAATTAGGTAGATAAAGTAATAAATTTGTATAAAATAAATTTGTACATACTTATCTTATAATATTTAATAAACAAGGTATAAGCCATCCATTCAAAAAAAATATTAATTTAGAAAAAAAAATAATTATAACTAACAAAAAATTTTTATATTTTATTATAAAATAAATTAATTAATATTGTTTAAATTTATTTTTTATTTTTAAAAATATAAATAATATTAATTTGAATGAAATAATTAATTGAAAATATAATAGTTTAAACTGATACTTATAAATTTAAATTTAAAATAAAATAATTTAAGTTTTGATTTGGTTTATAAAAAAAGTAAATCTTATAGTTTTTAAATTAGATCAGTTTATAAAAGGTTAAAACTAATGGTTTTTAGATAAAATTAGTTTAAAAGAAATAAATTAAATCAGATTTAGTTATAACCAATTTAAACTGAACTATTGTGATTTCTAAATATATTAAATAACAAACTCTGTCACTAAAGCAGAATTATCCAACAAGTATCAATAATATAATTATAGACAAATTCCAATCAATAAAATTTTTACTGTATTACAACTCAAAAACAATTAAGTCAAACTTTACAAAAAAAACAATTAGCAAATATATAAATATATTATTAGCCGTTCTCAATAAATTAACAAGTATAAGATATAAGTTAAACAATATCAAAACAATTATAGCATATATAGATGAATTAATAAACATAAATTACAGAATAGATTTTGATTGGTATATATAACAAATATTTAACATATTTTTTTAAGAAACAATTAACATTTTTTATTATTAATTAGAGCAAAACTAGCAATTATTATAACATTTCTTCTAACAGTATTAATATACAACAAAATCACAATCTGTACAAATAATCAAGCTGCACTTAGGACAATTAACAAATCCCAAACAACTAATATATATCAAGAATATTCAAAAATAATAATCTAATCAATATTATTACACATATTATAGAAAAACAAAACCTCAATACCTTTATTAAAAAAGTCAAAGTGCATAATAATAATCTTAAAAATAACAAAGCAGACCAGCTAGCAAAAGATGTTACAAACAAATATATAATACTCAAAATTAACTTCAAATCAATTCTTAACAATTAAACAAAATGGTCTTTAGAATAAAACAAACAAATATTAGATAATACAATTACAGAAACAATTAAAAACTTGATTAAAATAAAATATATTCTTAGTTGAAGAATACTAAACCATAACCTAATAACAACAGATAAATTCTTTAAAAATCACAATAGGCAATACTAATCAAAACTATTACAATACCAGATCATTCAGATTCAAAATCTGAAACCTATAATTTCTATTGAAAAGCAATCTATACAAAAGATCTACAAAAACATATACTGATAATTATGGTTCCAAAAATGAAAATCAAACATATTCACCTTGAATCTCATAAGGTTTAAAACACTATTAAAAATGATGATGGGTTATAACCCACATATTAAATTCAATATAAATCTGAGAATTGAGAATTAAATTGTTAGAATTCTTACTGATAATTAATGTATACATGACAAATAAACTAAAACCAATACATATATAATAATGTGTAAACAATATAAAAAAAATATTTTTACAAAGCTTAAACAAAACATCAATAAAGAAGTAGACAAAAGAACAAAAAATAAATTAAACACAAGTTAGAGTTAGGAAATAAAATTAGAAAACAATAACAAACATGAATACAAGAAATTAAAAATTACATAACAAGAGAAGTATTTACTAATAATCTAACCAATACAATTAAGAAATATGTATAACAAAACACATAAAAAAATTATTGAGACAATTTACAACTCCTGCTGAATAAACTTCAAGAAAGATAAAATTCTAGATACATCAACTTTGCAAAATGAGAAAAAGAAATGACATAGATAAAAAAGACAAAAATATATATATAATCAATAAAAAAATTCTCAAAAAAACAAAACATACATCTTAGGGTTCAACATATTAATCAAATATGCTATGAAAGATAAACTTCTAGATATATCAACTTTGCAAAATGAGAAAAAGAAATGACATAGATAAAAAAGACAAAAATATATATATAACCAATAAAAAAATACTCAAAAAAAACAAAACATACATTTTAGGGATCAACTCATTAATCAAATATGCTATACAGTATTGACTTAACTGGAACACAATATATATACATAAAACAAATTTTTTAGGAACAAATAGAGCCTTGGAAAATTAGTTAAATATATGCCAGACTTTGTAATAAGCTGTGTGACAGAACAAGTTTTTTAGTAAGTTTAATTATATAGACAGAGGGATAAATTTGTATAAAATAAATTTGTATATACTTATCTTATAAAATCTAATAAATAAGGTGTAAACCACCCATTAAAAAAAATCATGATTTGTTATAATATCTATTTACTACAATATTATTGATCTATTTTCTATTACTACTGATCAGGCATAATGTTAAATTAGTAAATTCTTTAAATATATTTTCACTATTACATTATATAGTTAAGATAAGATAATTCTCCAATATTTTGTTGCAAAAATAAGCATAGTCATTCTGTAGACTCTTTGGTTAAGATACACATGATATACTTATCTTTGCTTTTGAATGAGAGGAAGTGGGATTTGATAGGTACTGTATATTTACTCAAGGTATGCATGACATTTTTATTTTGGTTGTTTTTGAATATTTTTGATTGTTTTCGGTAGAAATGATTTTTGTAACTACTTGATTTATAATATTCTGAAATTAAGTATTAGCAAGGCTGAAGATTATATGAGGCTTCTTAATTAGACCAATTACGACCCCTTTTTCACTAAATGTCTTAAAAATTTTTTCTCTCTACACGTTTTAAGCCGCAAGGAAACAGGTGAAACGTCAGGTAGATGTAGCATTTTTTTGTATATCCACGATTTTACTGTTTTTTCTTTAACCTTACTTTCATTTATAATATCAAGTACTTTGCGTTCGATTTCAAGAGAATAATTATAACAACGTAAATTTTCTTTCTGAACTGTTTTTGTTACTTTTTCAAAAAAGCAAGCCAAGCTTAGTGCAAACTCTGGAATCAAAATTTTCAGAATTTTGTTATCACAAGAATCATTAATTTTGACACGAATGTACTACTGGCTTGCATCGATATCCTTCCCGTCTTTAAATATTTTATAATCGCCACAGGATCATAACTATTGTATCAAGCCTTAGTTCACAACTTTGTTCTTGTCAAGATTGATAAAGCCATCAAAAGAATCATGATACCCATCATCAGGATCAATTTGTATTAGCTCAGAAGCTTTTGACAAAACTTTTTTCGGCCAATTCCAAAGGAATAGGTATTAACGGAATCGACGTTGTCAAAGAGGCATTATGCGTTTCTTGATCTCAAAGCTTTTTCTCCCTGATCGTTTTTTTTTATCTCATTACTAATCTTTTTTTTATGTTTAAATCTAGGAATTCGACAATATCCTTATCTTTCAATGATATAGGCTATGGCAGGAGTTGTATTTGCTATTGGTTTGAAGCTGCACAGTAGATTATGGTAATATTATTGGTAATGGTAAACTGATGGTGATCATAAATACTGTTGTTGTCGTCACCGGTGAGTCTGTCGCTAAAACGGCGCACTCTTCGTGTGACGATAACCTGAACGCTTGTGTTTCGGCACTAAATAAGGTAAGGCTTTAACTCCGAGACGGATTACGATTTGACCGACTTTCGCACTTGCTAGTCTCTTCTTGACCGTCGCTCTCTCTTTAGGCGCGTCTCAAGACTACAAGTGGCTCTCTTTACGGGACCAAAAGGTAACTCGGCTTCTTTTCTTCTTAAAGACGTTTACTTTAATGTAGTGGAGAGAAACTAGTGTATATTGTTTATTGTGCAAAGCGAAATAGCATTTATTTAATAAAGCGCTAGTGTGCAAAAACAAAGAAACGTTCTCCAACGAAAACTCTAAATCTCCGTTCTAGAACTTGTTTTACCAATGCTACCTAAACTATCCTATTTATATGCCTTGTGGACGCGTCCATCTCATTACATGCTATTACTAACTATTACATCATTCCACCATCAATGTTACCATTATTGCGCGACGCACCACAATGTCGCAATCCCATCCCTATTGTTCCCACAACACTGTATAGACTATTTGTACACAGTTCCTTTTATAGAAAGTTGACCGTAAATACAAGTTTTGTTTTATATGGCCATACAGTCTCGTCGTTGTACTCAGGGAGGTTTCACGGTGTTTGAATTTATAGTTATTACTTAAAATTGGTTTTATTATTATTATTTTTTTTTGAACGTCAATGTATACGGATAATTATTTTTGAAGGTGACAAAAATGCTAGATATGATTTTTTTGGATCCAGCCTTTAAACAATACATATGTAATATAAATTTTCGGATCACACTAGAAAATTTCCGGTTCACCTTCGAAAATAATTACCCATATTAGTCGTCTCTAGTCATTATATACAGTATACATATGTTTTTTGAAAGCACTATAAGCTTTTTATCATTGAATTTTGGCTTTGAGTTCATGGAGATCAAAGTAGGATTAAAACTCAATTAATAAGATTCTTTCGCGGTTTGGTCGTAATGGCTTTATGTTTATTGATCTTCTTAGATAAACACGAATCCTTGACGCATGATGATTTTGTTTTTTTAAGTAGAATTTTCTTTGACTTTTGGAAAAAAAAAAAATACGTGAACGCTAAAAAAAGTAGTTATTGTTTTCTTTCGAGTATATTTTGTCAAAAAGCAGTACATAGTGTAACGGTGATCGGCGAGTCGGTCGCTAATGGAAACTTAGTTTCGCGCAACGATGGTGTTTTATTTATGGTCAGGCGGAATTGATGTTGGCCAAAAAACTTTTCTAACTGGACTTGATTGTTTTTTATTTATTCGATTTCTTCTTTCTTTCATACATTCTCGCACACTTATTACATAATAAAAACGATAAATACAAATTAAGAAAAACTAAAAAATCTCATGACGAAGCAATTGTTATTTGATTTTCACACCACTCTTGTTACATAATTCTATGGTTCGATCCCATAGTGCCATGATCGATCCTTGCACGATCCGGTCACGTGATAATGATTGTATCGCGGCTATACTCCCTTCCTTCTAACATATCCCTTTCCTCAGGCTCGCGCTAGTTTCTATCACGCTCATTGTGCTTGATACCGCTGTTTTCTTCCCAATATTGTGGGGAACCCAGAATTCAGTGTGAGGCGCGTTACCTTTTTCTCGTGTTACAATGGTTAATAAATTGTGAAAGGATATGGAAAATGTGTATATTTATAATACATATCGAGTGTTAAACTTGTTTAATCGAGCTTGTACAGTATATAATGTCATCTTGTAAGAGGAAGGAATTAGATCATTTACTTTAATTTGTTTTGATTTATTATTTTTTTTATCTGCACTTTTTACATCCAAATAAATAGGCAATGAATAATGGCCCTGACTACATTATTGAACTTTTATCATTTTTTTTGACCGAGTTATTTATTCGATTTTCTTTGCATTACTACTATAGCATAAATAATGTGCTATTTTTTATTTATAAAATGCACATTAAAAAGAAAGAAAAGAGAAAGTTAAAAATAAATTAGTTTAAGAAATAGTATAATAAAATCAATCGTAATTAATTAAATGATATTATAAAAAAAAACAATTATAAAAAGTATAGGGAGATAATAAAATATATCTGTCTACATTCCAGATTTATCGCACCAATATTTTGCCTTCTCGTTTTTCGTGGTTCCAATCCCATTACGATAACAAATTCCAATACTTTTTTGTCCTGCACGACTTCCACCTTCAGCAGATTTCAGATACCATTGAAATGCCTTTTCGTTGTCTTGAGTGGTTCCAATTCCATTTTTATAACAATATCCAAGATTATTTTGTGCATTGGTATTTCCACCTACAGCAGATTTCTGGTACCACTGATATGCTTTTACATTATCTTGAGCAGTTCCAATTCCATTGAGATAACAATATCCAAGATTACATTGTCCACCGACATTTCCACCTTCAGCAGATTTCTGGAACCACTGAAATGCTTTTTCATTGTCTTGAGCGGTTCCTATTCCCTTTTCATAACAATATCCAAGATTACTTTGTCCACCGGTATTTCCACCTTCAGCAGATTTCTGGTACCACTGAAATGCTTTTACATTGTCTTGAGCAGTTCCAATTCCATTACTATGACAATATCCAAGATTACATTGTCCATCGGTATTTCCACCTTCAGCAGATTTCTGGAA